TACTCTAATAATCTATTCACATTTATTTATTTAGAATAAACCAAAATTTCTAATAACATCAAATCAAGTATTATCATCAAATGATGATAATGAAACGAATCAAGTTATTTTAACCGTCAAAAATATTCAAACATTATTACTTAGTGCTATTGATAAATGTCCACGAGCTTATAGTGCTAGGTTAAACATTTTTCAAACGAATTTTTTCTTTAATATTATTAATACTTTTGTTTTTATGTAGTTGGTGTAAAATTTTACGTGTTCAAAAACTTCAACAAATTCTTATCATTGTTTTAAATGGTGTCACTGATGAAAATTATAATCAATTAAAAGATACTGAACTCTTTCAAGAATGGAAACAATTATTCACTTCGGTAAAATATTGATCGAAAATACTCATTACATAGCGGACAAATATATCATTAAACCTATTTAGAACTATAGCATAAAGATAGATACGTTGTAACATCATTTGGTTGAATGGTTATGTTAGTATAGTTAAATCTATTTTATTTTAATACATAATATCAAAATGAAAAAGTGTGTATTATCGTTATCCTTGATATTAATGTTGATTACACATTATTTCATTTGCATCTGTCTCACATAGAATCCAATGTTATGTTTGAGAATAAGAATATTGGTTATAAGAGAGAAGCATGAAAACAAAAACATATATGAGAAAGAATAAGGATTACATTAATAATTGGAGAAAAACGATAGAATTGTTAAACTATTAATAAACATTAGCTCAGCAATGATAAGATGATGATGATCTGTGAGAATGTCAAGGGAGGAAAAGCGAAAATTCTGTACTTCAACGTATTCCAAGGGTATGTCAAAGTTACACTCTAGAACTTCTTAGCTATTTCAAGTCTATTATCAACGTATGTCACTTGCATATTGTTTTGAGTTCATTTTATCTAAATCTACCTAGCAATAAATTCAAGATAGTTCATCGTACTTCAAGATTTCAATATCAGTGAACCACAATGAAGTATTTGAACTTCATTATCAGAAAGATTCATATAGAATGTACTCAAACAGATATGCTCGTAGCACACGTTCATAGTAGGCTTAAATAGCTAAGAAAGTCTTGAGAATGTCTTTGACATACCCTTGGATTACACTGTATCACGATGCAGTACGGAATTTTCGTTTTTCTCCTTTGAAGAATGTATTTTAATAACATAATCGATAAATAAAATATTCAAATAGAAATAATAAGAGTGGTATAAAATTGAACTTGATTAACCAGTATAGATCACTCTAATTTGATTAAAATCTCAACTGAGAACTAATTTTAGTCAGTTGACTGGATCTAGAAACAATTAAAAATAAATTACTCATCTATTAAATAATTCAAACTTCGATCGAAATAATCGTCATCAAAAATTTTCTTCGTCACAAATATATCGCCAACATATATAAAATAATATTAATACGTTTTATACAAAGAAAAGAAACAATGTGAATGAAAAAAATTAATGAAATGATTTCCGAAAAATTCTTAAAAGAATATCGAAAATATGAAAAAAACTATTTTGCACTATAAGTAAATTGAAATAAGTTGGAATTAAACAGAACTAGACAAAATACTTGACGGCTAAATACTCGAAATTCTAGATAAGTATACATTATATCAAAATGAAGCTTAATAAAATTGTAGTTTACGTTTTCCAAGAGTGAAATGAACAGCCGATTTCTTCTTTTTGTTTTATACATATATGAATGAATCGTATTTCATTTGTACAATTCCATCATAAGTACTAAATCATGAATATCTCTGGTTTGAAAGCTCCAAATGACTTGAAAATTTTATACAATACTTCTCTCGGTGTCTTCTTACACTTCTAAAATTTTGAACAGTCTACATCACTCGTATCTCGGATTACGCCTTTTGAAAGTGAAAAAACAAGGAAAAATTGAAGCCATCTCTCGATGAAGACAAAAAAATTTTTCAATTACGAAAAATTTAAGGTCGCATTTTCTTTAGTGCAGTTAGGTAGAACAAGTGCAGAGAATCAGAATCTGACTTTAGTTTTCTTACTTGGAGCGGTTTGAAAATAAAGCCGATCGGTAGAAACAACTTTTCTGAAAATAAATTCTAGGCTGCATCAAGATCTTGAATGAATATAAGCAGACACGTTTTGAAAAAGTCATATTAAATACTCACTTTGTCCCATCATATTTTGAGTTTTGTGACTTGAATATCTTCTTTACCCGGTTGACTGTTTTGCGTGAAATTTATATCTTTTTTCTTTCTCTATGTTTCCTGCATGTGATAAAAAAAATCAGCTCTTTGTCGCGTTCCACGACTGAGATAATGGCAAGTCATATATGAAACGTTCCGTTATATTTTTTTTCAATCAAAGTATCCCGCTATGTAAAAAGTTGGATGTCTTCATCAAATGAAAATCAATTATACACTTATTATACACCATCAATTCGCCATTGGCAGATGTATCTAATGATATACCTTTCAAAGTGAAGTATTGCTGCATAGAAAAAAAATCTACTGAGGTATTCCGCTATCTGAATAATCAATTTTTCATTAATATATTGTATGACTTTTCATGAGTTTCTTCATGGATTATATTTATTCCGACGTTCAACCACAAAACATTAGATAAATCTAATCGAGATGCATCGATATCGGGAATTGATTCGTGTTTGTATATTGTATAGTTTTTTCTTTCCTTTCTTAAACATGGTTCATTCTTACTCAATAAATTCGTTGTTATGATATTACGATTTAATTAGGATGTGAGTGTAAGTGTTGATGAAGAGAAGGCCCATACTCACACTTGCTCTTTACCTTTGTCGCTATGAACTTGGTCTGAAATACTTATCAGTGTCAGTTGCATAAGCTCCTATTGAAAGAATGTTTTCTCACAGCGACTTTGTAATGCGTCCATATCGCGCATCGTTAATCTCAAAAATGTATGCTTACTTACTTTTCTTAAATGTAATAAGATCTTGATATAGTTTGATTACTTGAAACTTGATAATAGAAAAAAATAATAATAACAAGATTTCGCTTTACGACTCTTACTATGTCTCGATCTCAAAATTGATATGTCATATCTAAAACTGTTAATTAAATATTCTCTAGTAAGTTCTTAGGGAATTTATTCTTACGTACTGATATTCGAGAAAGTCTGTACTTGCTCAGTTGTAACATAAAAATGATTTTTTTTTGTTTAGGATAATGTTTGTCATACATTTCGTTTTCATACTCAAAAGAATATACCATTTATTGAACAATTTAGTAAAATAGCAGCAAAAACAAAATCTACAAATCAGTCAAAAGGTTTGAAACGTTGAAAAAAATAAAATGTTTGTTTTTTTGCTATTTATTGATTAATTATTTTAGATCATTCATTATTGAAAAGTAAAGCTGAACAATTAAGTAATAAAAAACGTTCATTCGACGATGATAATGAAAATTCATTAAAACAATTTAAAAAATCTTGTGAAGATCAATTTTCTCGTGTAAATTTAGTTTTAAATTTAAAACAATTGCTTACTGGAAATTATCCATGTCCAATATATAATGAATTTAAAAATTTTAAACAAATCAAATCATCATATAAACCAATAACATCTTCAAGTAGAATATTTGCATTAGATGTTGAAACAGTTGGTTAATTTATTTTTCTTTTTAAACAAATATTAATTCTTTATTTTTAGTTTTCTGATATGATTAATAATCGACAAATTCCTTATTGGATATCAATTGTTGATGAAGAATTAAATTGTATTTATCAAACATTAATAAAACCAAATGATAATCAACATATGGAAAATTATCAACAACGGTTTTTATTTTTATTTTAAATAAATTTATTGTTTTTGTTTTTTATTTAGTCGAGAACAAGTTATTAAAATTGTTCCAAATATAATTGAAAGAAATTTAGAACAAGTTCATGAAGATCTTAAAATATTATTTGATGATGATTTAATATTAGCTGGACATAGTATTGAAAATGATCTTAAATATTTACAAATCTATTATCCATATATTATTGATACATCAATTATTTTTAATGTTACTGGAACAAGATTAGAAAAAACAAGTTTACAAAAACTTTATGCTATTTTTTTTGGGTTAAATTTTTATTATGAAATTAATAAAAACAAAATTAAATTAATTCTCTTTTTTTTCTTTTTTGTTTGTTAGACGTTTAATACAAAAAACTCGTCTTGAACATGATCCAACAGAAGATGCACGAGCTACAATGGAATTAATACAATTAAAACTTAGTAAAAGTATGTTAAATTTATTGTTAATAAAAATTTAATTTTTTTGAATATTTTATTATAAGATATTGAATTTGGTGATTGGTTTCTTGGTGGTGTTGATCAATTAAAAGTTTTAGGAAATTATGATTCATTACAATTAGATGAAAATATTCAACAATGTCAAACATTTTTAGCACAAACTAAATTTGGTTTACAAGAAGATTTTTTTAAAAGAATTAAACAACAACATAAAGGTTAGTTTGACTTATTAAATAAAACAAAAACTTGAATAGTCTTCATTGATTGTATCTGTAAAATATTCAGGACTACAGATCTATTCCGAAATCTCAAACTTTTTTTCGTGACTCAACTTAAGTCAGATACTAACTGCATATTTCTAATCATAATCTAATTTTAATATTCTATTTCGATTTAAATTTATTTTTAGCTTTGATTATTGAACAAACATTGAATGATAAAAAAACTTCTTTACCAACAATTGAAGTTGATTCAAATCGTCAAGCTTTTAAAACATGTATTAAACAATTAGATACACATGAATTTCTTTGGGTTCAATTTTATGTTCCATTATTAAATAATAATGATGATAATCAATCATTAATTAAAATAATAAAATATGTTAAAAAACTTTATAAAATTTTACGAGAAGATTCAATTCTTATTGGAATTTTATCTGGACAAGATCATTTTGGTCGATGTTTTGTTAAAATTAAAGATGATGAAAAATTAGCTCCATTAATTATTGATGGACAAGAATATCCATACGATTTAAAATTAGTTAAAACTACATAAAAAAAAGAATATTTTTATTGTTGTTGTTTTTTTTTAATTATGTTTAAGATAATTAAAAAAATCGTTATTATTATCGTTTGTTAACGATAAAAGAACCAATGAAATGATTATTTTTATCATGTAGCTAAAGATTCGAGCAAAAGTTTTTCATTAATTTTCTTTCTTCGATATTTCCATGTCGGATCATTGCAAAGAACTAATGTTTTTCTTTAAAAGATAGTCAATGATCTCTTCTTAGAACTTTTTTGCCAATATATTTTTATTGTACTTATTAAAATAATATCCATTTCAAAGTTAAATACCTACCTCCACTTAACTCTGAAATGGATATTAGGTAAGAATCTGAGTATAACGAGAAAAAGAAAATATTCTAGTATGTAAAAAAATTGTAAGTAGAGAAATCAAATGATTGAAACATATTCTTCTTATCGAAATAAAAAAAAACACTTAAGATAACAATTAAATAAATGAGCTGATTAATCCTTTGGTTATAAACAAACGGTACACATACATAATAAAAATGACCATTTTAATTCGAACTCTTCAGAAAAATTATATTGTAAAACTGTCTCAGCTGGTACCAGTGGTTAACGAAGCAAGTAATTCAACGAAATTCCACTAGTTTTGAGCAGCAATTTCAAATCAAAATAAAAAAGACTTTTCAACGTGTATCACTAAGAAACCTTGATCAGTTGTGATGAATGTACTGAACATGATCGTGTATTATATGTGTCCTCAGTCGATACATTTATACTTTACGTAGTTATTAATCGATATTATTCGTTCAATACTCCCATTATGAGAAAATAGGAAATGAGAATGAAATTACTCTCATAACTAATTATAATTGAAATAATATCAGAAAAACCTGCGAGACGAACATCTATAACACCAGGATATAGATATATATTGTGTCGAAGTTATAACTTCCATAAGATTGGTATTATCTATATTGTTTTGATTAGATTCAAATAGTAAATACATGATTATTTGAATGTCACAATCGAAACTGATGGTTATAGTTACAGTCATTTCATACGAAAATATATGCCGATCTAGATATTTTCCCAAATACACGATCATCTACGACCATCTAAAAATATAATCAATACCTACACAAACAGCCACACCTGTTCATCATCTTCCAAAAAAAGTCATAGAATCTCCTATAGTTGACTTCCAAAACTATAAAATAATATGAATCCAAAAAATGGCATATATACCTGATTTACAATAGATCAACACATTTCAAAGCTGTGGATTTTCAAAATGAAAGTAGTCAGCTAACAATATTTTCTGTTTTTTTTTGCAGCGATCGTAACTATTTATCGTTGCTCTTGTCGATATTCATGCTTTTTTTAGATGATTAAGGATGTGGATGTATGTGCGTGTTGTAGGTGCGGTCATTGAGTAGCAGCATGTCGGTGTTTACGAGGGCATGGTTGTGAAGTGTTTTATATGTGTTGAGTGTGGGTCTGTTGACGTGATATATGTGGAATGCAGATAAAGATGTAAGTGTGGTTGTATTGATGTGACGGTGGGTGGATGTACATATGTAAGTTTAAGTATAAATGGTTGAACAGAAGCAGACAGGAATTACAGGGACACGCGCATCCACACCGACACTGGAATGCATATCAACATTCAAACTCAGACTCATACACCGAACTGCATGCATACATTTGATATTAATGTCGATTGGACTTGTAAAGCAGTATATTATACAAAAACTGTTGAATA